CCGTGTCAGCCCCCGCCCCGCTGACCTTGTACAGTGATGACCGGCTTCCGGGGTGCCCCTGGCCTCACACGCCAGGATCTCCGAGTCTCCGACGTTGACGAACAAGGTTCTTTGGAGGGAGTGGTGACCAGCCGGGGAGGAGCTGCGGAACACCGTCGACACGTCGGTAAGGGCGACACCGACTAACCTCGATCATCGCAGCAGATGGGCATGCTCACCGGTGAGTTTGAAAACCCAGCTGGCGCGTTTTCTCACAAAAAACGATGATTTTTTAAAAAACTCATTGACGATTAACTTTTTGATTGATTGATGATTCTCACAAAAGTTTCTCACAACCGGTAATGTTGGCATAATGGTAATGATTATGACAGCATTTCTCACATATAAACAGAGATGGATGACATGTTATCACAGACGCATAACATGGAAGTATATATGCACGTACGCCATTGACGTCCCCGCACAGAAACCACATACCCGGATGTCAAAATGGGCTCAATCACACAGGCCACGTGGTTGGTGATGTCCCGGTCCGGTCAATCACACAGGCACGTGGTGTGGATGTCCCGATCGGCTCAATCACACAGGCCGTGGTGTGGATGTCCCGATCGGATCAATCACACGGGCACGTGGTGTGTATGTCCCGGTCGGCTCAAACACTCAGGTATTGGTGTGGATGTCCAGGTGGCCCCAGGTACACAAAAACACGTACCGCTTACGTTCAGGTGGATACAGCGCGAGTACGTACCGCGAACGTCCACGTGGATACAGGCACGGCCACGTACCGTGTATATCCAGGTGGATACAAGCGCGGGCACGTACCGCGTACGTCCAGGGTGGATACAGGCGCGGGCACGTACCGTGTACGTCCAGGTGGATACAGGGCGCGGCACGTACCGTGTACGTCCAGGTGGGACACAGGCGCGGGCACGTACCGTGTACGTCCAGGTGGATACAGGCGCGGGCACGTACCGTGTACGTCCAGGTGGATACAGGCGCGGGCACGTACCGTGTACGTCCAGGTGGATACAAGGCGGGGGCACGTACGTGTACGTCCAGGTGGATGCAGGCGCGGGCACGTACCGTTTACGTCCCGGTGGATTACAGGGCGGGCACGTACCGTGTAGTCCAGGTGGATGTAGGCGCGGGCACGTACCGTGTGCATCTAGGTGGATACAGGCACGGGCACGTACCGTGTACGTCCAGGTGGATGTAGGCGCGGGCACGTACCGTGTCATCTAGGTGGATACAGGCGCGGGTACGTACCGCCTACGTCGAGGTGGATGTAGGCGCGGGCACGTACCGTGTACGTCCAGGTGGATATAGGCGCAGGCACGTACCGCGTTACGTCCAGGTGGATACAGGCGCGGGCACGTACCGTGTACGTCCAGTGGATACAGGCGCGGAACGTACCGTGTATATCCAGGTGAACCCAGGTGCCGTTTCCCCAGCTCGGCCGGTGACCGGTCCAGAAAGTGGACGACACACTCGTACCAGCCAGCGTCCATTTCGGTGATGGTGGTCATGTTGAGCGAGGCCATGCCGTACTGTGTGCTCCGCAAGTCCACCGGGGACCCGGCCCTCGTAGCTGTCGGCCACGTGCGGAGGGTAGCCGTCGTACCAGATGTACAGGGCGGATGGAGCTCCTGCCGAGAAACGCGGGCTGCTTAGTCACCAGATGTACAGGGGCGGATGGAGCTCCTGCCGAGACCGCTGTGTTGCTTGACGACGGTCGAGGCTGTCAGGCCTCAGGAGATGCATGGATTCCACTGCAATTCCGTGGCTAGACAAATCTGACACACAAATCGTTAGCCCCACGCAAAAAGCTTAACACTAATGCCCCCCTCCCCCTCCCCATTTGCATATTTTAATGACTAGGAGGGTGTCACGTTGCCCTCCTTCCAAAGTAGTCCCGGATCGTCGGGTGGTTATTGAACTAGAACTCAACAAACTCTACAAACGCTACCGCGGCGATTTATGTTTCCTTTGGCAGCTTCTACTTACTACTCTACTCTCCCATCGGTGGGCAAAGGGTTAAATGAGCGTGTGGATGAATGCAAACCTGTAAGGTGTACCACCTCAATTACCTAACCTGGAAAGTGTGTACCGTACAACACATAAGCAGCAAACCATTACTGAAAGCTACCTTCACTTGTTGCACCTTGGAACGCTTATTTTCCAATTGGGCGAAAAATAGCGCTGAGCGGACACGATCATCACCATTCCTGTCCATTCGCTGCAACCGCTGCTTACTGTACAACACAAACATTCACTGCCTGCCTGTCTGTCATGTAAGCATGTTGTGTAACTGTGAGATGCCAACCAACACGCTCTGTGGCAGGAGGCGGTACATATTGATGCCATCGACGCGCCGCCTCTTCGTGCGAGCATGAACCACAACTTAATAAAGATCTGTCCATGTCTCGAGTGCGCGGCGGTCGCGGCAGCTGCGCCGGAAGCGTGTCCCAGTGACCCAGGAGTTTTAAACTGTTTAGCATGCATATATGCATACATACTGTGTGTATGTATCGTACCGTATATATATATCTATATATATATATATATATATATATATATATATATAGCCCAGGGATGTAGCCAGCCTGTGCGCACCCCCATGGTGAGAACGCATCTATCTCGGCTCTTGTCCTGAAAATCCGTAATACTGCAGGTGGCATGCAGGGACCAACGTGACAGGCAAGGTCGTGAGGCCGTTACAATGCCGTGACCACTCGTCTGACGACGAATACAAAGGCGAAGACGAAGGCTATGACTACGATTATGATGATGGTGATGATGGCGATGAGTGATAATGATGGCAACAACGATGACAGGCCATAAACTACACAGGCCTCTCAGGCCGCGGCGCACTCGGTCAGCGGAAATGGTCGGAAGCGTCGTGCCGCGTCACTTTCATGTTTCTTGTTGATTCCAGTGGCCGCCTAATTAACACAGTAAAGTTTGTTTCCCAGGCCGTCCTCCAACTGACGAAAAGCCGCGAACCGGCGTGACAGGCGGATCGTGAAGTCGGGACAATGCCGCAATCACTCGCCTGTTTCCTCCACTCGATGACGTAGGGCACGGGTTGGCCGTCGGGGAAGTCCAGAGGGCAGTCAAGCACCACACCCTGCCCGACCAGCGCCGTCAGGTGCTTCGCATTCTGCAGGTCCAATCCTGGCGGTCACACAGCGGCCGGCGTGAACACAGGTGAGTCACACAGGGGCCGACGTGAACACAGGTGACGGTCACACGGGGGCCGACGTGACACAGGTGACGGTCACACGGGGGCCGACGTGAACACAGGTGACGCTCTCCGCACGCTGCTCCCGTCGTACACACGCACTACGCACATGCCCTGGTCGCTCAACGCTTGCTACGAGAAGCTCGGAAAAGAGTCTCGGCCTCGTCCAAGTAAGCGAGGATCATCATTCCCACATGTGCACGCCTGTAGGATATGTACATATATATATATATATATATATATATATATATATATATATATGTATATATATATATATATATATGGTGCTAAGTAGCACCATCGGATCCATTTAATTTGATTATGTGTGGCTATATACGAGTTGTAATGTATAACGCTCCGCGAAAATACATAGTGCAATAAGTCATATGTTTTCAAATTAAAACATGAGTAGTACATCAGTACAGCACCCCACACGAAACCAAGAAGCAACAGCCACGTGCAAGTTCATTCCTTCTTTAGGCACAAAGCTATAGAAATCTCACACTTGTGTATTTTACGCAGTCAAAACATGGCATTTTCCCACTTATACTTTAAGAGGATAACATTTGCGCCAAAGTTCGTCATACGAAGCTGTTTCCCAATATAAAACACACAGAGGATCACAAAAAGTGGTCCTGTTTTCCTTCATTAGCGTCATAAGTCCGCTTCAGTTGCGCATGTAGTAGCACACTACAACAGGATGGGAAGGGTACTCGGGCCCGTCACATCTTTGTAGAGTTACGAAGATGTTACTCCGTTGGTATAAGGCATATATATATATATATATATATATATATATATATATATATATATATATATACGGCGTAATGGAGGTGATGACGTAACGGACCATTATCCACGGATAAGAAAAACAGCAGATGTTGACTCTGTGTCTGGTATAAATTTTGTGCAGCACAGAGGGAAAAAACTATAAACATTTCTTCAGCTCACATCTTGCCAAGTCCCATCTCTTCAACGTACAAAAGGCGCAACAATAGTCATAGGCTTTAGTTAGGTACTTGGTAGCAATCTACTGGGTTTGCGATCTTAGGTTGGTAAGCATTAAGCTATGTACAGTATTTCATATGTTGTTAATATTTTGGCGGAAAGTAAAAAGTGACACACGAAGTAGATGAAGTGATGATTAGCAACCATAAATAACTAAGCCGTGCTCCACTCAAATCTGCCTATTGGACAAATGCGAGCAATCTCATCCCTTTCCACGAGTAGGCTTTTAGCAGCAGAGGCAGCATTCTCACGCCTTTAGACACGGCTGAGCTGCGCACTGCTGAACGCTCCGTAAGATGACTGGTGCCTGACTGGTGAGGGCTCTGTCTTCAAAGGCAGTCTCTCAAGTACCTCATGAAATCAGGCGGCTGGCGTGGGTCAGGACCATCAGAATAATAACGCAGTTTGCTTTAGACTGAGTTAGTGCGGTTGGTATGTGAGTTGTTGCCCATGAACATGCCCAGGTTTAACAGTCCTGCAATGGCCACTGCCGTGCTTCCCATCATTTAAAACGCAAACTATGGGCATATAGCGAACCCATTGTGGTTTACTAAGACGCTAAAAGCCCAAGAACTACCAACATTGACGTCAGGTTCGTTTCAGCAGAGACTTCCTACCATCTGGCACAATTATATTTTTCCAAGTTTGGCCACATCACGGAACATAAACTAGCGAGTACATAGATGCAGATGTTTGGCGTTTGAGAACGCACTAGTGTGGTGTTCTCCATCTTCAAGGTTCAACCCATTCGAAAAAAGAACACGAAAAACCAAGCACAGCTACCTTAGGAGAGACCGCTTTGCTAGGCCAAACCGTTTGGCAGAAAATTGGGGACCACCAACCATTCCATAAAATGCATAACTTTCCAGGCGGCCGCTCAGTCCGCTAGCCGAGCCCGGTCGGTCGGCGGTGCTCCCATCAGGCCGGTCTGTGCGGCCCGCTGGTGGTGTTCGTGTGACCTCTGATGGCGGGCCGCTCAGGTCCGCTAGCCGGCCCGGTCGGTCGGCGGTACCCGTCCATCAGGCCGTGTGTGCGGCCGCTGGTGGTGTTCGTGTGACCTCTGATGGCGGCCGCTCAGTTCCGCTGGCCGGGCAACGTCGGCCGGTGTACCACCATCAGGCCGGTGTGTGCGGCCGCTGGTTGGTGTTCGTGTGACCTTTGATGGCGGCCGCTCAGTCCGCTGGCCGGGCAACGTCGGCCCGGTGGTACCACCATCGGGCCGGTGTGTGTGCGGCAGCTGGTGGTGTTTCGCGTGGACCTTTGATGGCGGCCGCTCAGTCCGCCGACTGTGCCAGGTCGGGTCGGGCGGTGCCCCCATCAGGCCGTCGTGTGCGGCTGCTAGTAGTGGCAGCTCATTTGAGACCGTGTGACCTTTGATGGCGGCCGCTCAGTCCGCTGGCCGGGCCCGGTCGGTCGGCGGTGCCCCCATCAGGCCGGCGTGTGCGGCTGCTAGTAGTGCAGCTCATTGAGACCGTGTAACCTCTGATGGCGGCCGCTCAGTTCCGCTGGCCGAGCCCGGTCGGTCGGTGGTACCCCTCCATCAGGCCGGTCTGTGCGGCCGCTGATGGTGTTCGTGTAACCTCTGATGGGCGGCCGTTCAGTCCGCTGGCCGAGCCCGGTCGGCCGGCCGGCGCCGAGCCAGCCGCCCTGAGCGGCGCCGGCGCCGCTGGTCGATATGTGCCGCCAGCGCTGCCGTGTCGCGACGGCCACCGAGCCACCAGATGGCCCCACTGCCATGCGGCCGTGATGGCGCGCCGCAACGCCACGGCACGGCATCCCGGAGGACGGCGCGCTCCTCGCGCTAGCCCACGGCTCCGGCGCGGGCCGGCCGCGGCGACTCTTCCACCGCGCTGAGCAAATGCAGTCAGCTGATGACACGACGCAGGCAATAATGACCTCCACAGGCTACACTCGTGGCTGCATCAGTAGGCTGATTATAGCCTGCTCCGAGACTATGGGGACTGCAAAGACAGATTGCCAGCGCTAACAAGCCAAGGAATAGGGCAGCATCTGCCAGAACGTCATGGCCCGTAACGAAAGAACACAGCACATCTTTGCCATCTTTTGGCACCAATCCCCGACAAAAGCTGGTAACCCGATTAGGCAGAAGGGCGAGGCGCCAGCATGAAAGGCGCCGAGCATCCGCGAACGCTAGCCAGTGCAGTCGGGGCCAAGGCTGGGGAACACACGAGTGGGGAAGGGGGAGGGGGACGCACGCAGCTGAGCCGCTCGCCAATATTCGTGCAGCAGTATGGTTGGCAGCGCTTTCAAGCCAATTCAGCTGTAAAGTGCATGAAAGCATATCAAAGATTTGAATAAAGTGTGAGGCTTTTTGCGTTCTGACATTGATGTGAAACGGACGAGGACTTCGATGATTTCACACTCATAGGCGCCTTAACACCAATGCTCGTCCCATTTTCCGTCTCCGCGTCGTACGGCATAGATTCCTAACCGCTTGTGAAGCGCTCTCCCCCCCCCCAAAAAAAAAAAATTGAGAAAGAGAGATAAAGGAGCCATTCTTGCCTTAACCTCTACAATACATGAACTAGGCAACTTAACAAAAACACATTCGCACAGAAGCCGGCCTAAAACGAAACGCTGCCACGTGAAATGGAGCCAGTGAACGGGGTGGAGCGCACACAACCTTATCGCGCACTTCAAGGGACGGCGAACCCGCGTCTAGGTTTGGAACAAGCCAGGCAGAGGGGATCACAGATTCTTTGAAAGCTTGTGAAGATAGACCACCAGATTGAGGGAGGGTAAGCCACAATGTTCAGGATTCCTCGACAAGTCGGTACACTGGGTTGTCGATTGTCTTGAAAACAGAACCGCTTTCACGGAACTTTACACTTCTCGTTCACCTAACATTACCAGCGTGTTTTGCGAAGCGTTGGGCTAAACATTAATTGGTTTTCCCGCGCTGATACCGGCAACTACGACGGGGAGCCTAACTCCTGTAATATTGCAACATCGCACTGGTACGGAATAACCCAACTACAACCGGCTCATTTTTGCAGAGGACCAGGCAATCAAGAGATATGCTGTTTTTTGCTTTTTAGCTGGCACTTGCCTGAGATGGAATGCTGAATGACAGACGGTCTAACGCCCCCAGAAGCCGAAACGCTAAAGATCACTCAGTGTTCGCGCTTCTTCTATGACTCAATGACTGCAATCCTTACAATATTGCGTACTTGTACTTCTATCTCAACGTCAGCACAGTTTGACACTTTTGTGACCATGTGTGACCTATGTGAGCCCTCCATGTGTGACCTATGTGTGACGTCCTTGTGTGACCTATCGCGCATGTAATATGGTAATATCGCACAGAGGTGCAGAAGATCCGCCGTAAGTAATGTATCTAAACTTTGCCACAATGGGATCAAATGGCCAGTTAATGCTGTCACAGTTTTCCGCCCGCTCCATTATTCTTCCCTTTTTAACAACGCTTCAGTTTAAATCCCTTGATAAATTCACCATATCATAGCAACGGCCTGTCGTGGGCGATAACTTTTTGAGATTGACGCAATACGTAGCTCACACTTCCGTTAGCGCATGTCTTTTGGCCTCTAATTACTTACGAATTTGACTAGCAATTTCATGCCGTGCAGGCTAGATGAAACCAGTGAATCACCCGTATAGATGTGACTAATGAAACATCCGTAAAGATGTTACCTATCTAACACACGCACAGATGTTACCAATCAAACACCGTACATATCTCACCGATCAGGTACAGGTACACGTACAGGTGTTTCCAATCAAACAATCGTAGATGTCACCAATGAAACACCCGTACATATGCTTCTAATGAAACACCCGTACACATGTTATGCTGGATGAAACTAATGAAACCCCTGTGTAGATGGTATGCCCTACATGTGCGTAAGTCATTTTCAGACGCGTCGTTCCCGTGTTCTGTCAAACTGGGTACAGTGCGGAAGCGTTCATTTGTGCCCGATTCACAAAGTAATTTTGTTAAGCCTATGGCAGATCTAGTTCAGACCTGCCGAGATCAAGATCACTGAGTCGCACTAGCATACGACAGCATACTTTCTGTACTACATCAGCTTGTCATACACTGGTGATGCTTTCACACCCTGGGCTTTAAATGAGGTAACCTCGACACTTGCCAAACTTACAACACGCTGGTGGTCGTGGAAGACTACGAATTCGAAACACACTATCTAGTCAGTACCGGGGTTGTGGCGGTAGTTCCCACACCCTAAGAGCAGCGAGTTATTTCTGTGTTACAAAGAGATATAAAGGACTGAAGAAAACGGAATGCAATGATGATAAGCCGAAAATGATGACGGAAATGAGTTAAGGGCATGTTTCATATTTCAGGATATTTAAGCAAACATTCTATATGATTGAACAGGCCCATTTATAACTTTGGAATACCTTTAAAGTGAGAAAGGCTGCTCTTGGCACCACAATTTATCTGTTTACCAAATATGCTCCTCAATGCGTCATGGTTTGATTACGTCATCGTACCTTGCACAACAACGACTGAGAGCCAATTGACGACCGTTAGACCTGGAAATTGCGCTCATGAACGCCTCGGCAATTATATTATTTTTGATATTGATCACCCGGAGGGCTTATGGAACGACAGGATTTTAATGATGTTGTCATGACGTCACGAATGCCAAGGTAACTGAAATGCTGTCCCGAAAAACCTTTCCCAATTTTCGTGCGCGTGTAGCTCAGAAACTAAAGGGGCTCAGGTCTCAAGACGGACAGGATTATGAACAGCACCGAAAGGTCCTCAAGATATAGCCATCTTGAAGACCTTTCGGTGCTGTCAGTTCAAAATCCCACATAAATGTGGAACACTACCTTCTAGTGAATTGCTACAACAGATGACCATCCCAGCCACAGTGCCCAAGAGTCCCATGAACGCGACTCAGGAACCATTACAGCGCTTTCCAGGGTGTCTAGATTAACTTAAACTTCTCTTGATGTATGGGTAAAATGGTTTAGTTTTTTCAACTGAGCATGCCAGGCCGCTCTGGCATCGTCGCATAGACTGGAGATGAAGCACCGTCTCATCTGTCGCGGCAGAAACATCTGTAACCGACCCGTCGAGTAACATGGATGCAGGGTCTAGCAACCATCATATTCGTCCTACAGATGTGATAATAAACATTGTCATTCTTCCACGCTTTTGGGGCCGGATACCACGACTGGCGCAACAGGGATCTCCGATACGCTGGTTCATATTGGCCACGCAATAAATGCAGACCAAGTAACTAGCCAAACTACCAATTAATATGCTGTAAATAATGCAAACCCATGATAATGCATCATAATGAATAAGCTAAACTAAGACCAAAAAGTGGAAACAAATATGCAAACCCAACGCAAAAAAACCTCCGCCACACAAAGCTCGTCAAGCAAAGCATTCAAAATATATGCTGGCATGTTATGTAAGAATTTAAGAAAAACAACAGTGGTAAATAGTGTTAAAAATCATGACAAACTTTCGCCATCTGATCCAACTCAAATATAATGAAAACCTCCATAAACGCAGGGTGGCATGACAGCTTCCATAAACACAGTGCCGGGTCCATGGGCAACTGACAGCTCCAAAACTTCAAACGAATTTTTTACAAAGATCACTAGAATTAAATATCAAAGATCAAACTACAGAATCAAAGAGAAGATAATTCACTAAAGACCAGAATCCAAACGATAAACAAATGGCCAAATCATAATCGCGTATCACACGAACTTCATAATTAGTTATAAATCCAACGATTATAGGTTCCTCAAATCAATCAATCAATTAATCAATTTTCAATCAGCTGTATATGATTCACTTATTTCCGAAATGGTTATCCAAGATAGCCAAAATCTAATGTAAGGCAAATTTCAGATAACAACGTCGATTACATAGGTTGAACAACTTCACAATTCGTACGAAACATAATACATAGTACTTTATTCTGTGCGCACAAAATATAATTGCAATGTTCTTCAATAAAATAATTATACGGAAGCTGGTAAATCCCAAATTCCGATTTGAAAACGCCAGTTGGCCAGCGTTATCAAATAGGCTCTGTGTTGCGTTATCAAATAGGCTTCTGCTCGGCTCTACCTAGTATTTCTATCGTATTCCCTAGCCGTTGGGTTCATCACAATGCATGGGCAAGGTCCTTTATCGACAAGATAATCCCGAGTCAAAGTTATACACGACCTCGGATCATCTTAAATTACCCCTTGAAAACCATTCACCTCAGTCGTGCTCATCAGGATTTAAAAGAAGTTGCCAAATGGCCAACTAGATTTTCAACCCAAAATTTGCACTGTTAAGTATGCCCCAAACTAGTTCATGCCTTGGGCATAGACTTGTTTATCTAGACAGTCTGGTTTATTCAGGGCATAGCCTAGTCTTTTGGTCTATTCCCTAAAATTAGTTTGAAAATGTCTGAGCCAGTTCGCTTTATTTGTAACAATAAAATACTTTCATGCTTGCTATGCATGTTACACATGCCTTTGCACACCATTTCAGCGTCCGTCACTTTGCATTTACACGTATCATTACCGGCGGGCGTTTCGTCGTTGCCATGGTAGAGACCTTTGGGTACAAAACAAGCGTTTGCAATGAGTATGATTATATAAATGGATCCGCATCTTTATTTTAGCCTAAAATTCACAAAACTGTGCCACAAAACCTCCCATTCCATGTCCTGCCCTTGCAACTGAATGCTTTCCAGAAAATATACATTCCATTGAGCTTCATTTCAGCAAAATGTGCAGGTGAATTCCATGAGAAGTCACAACTGCGTGCCACTGCCGCTGGCGGTTAGGAAGCAGCATGAAAACATTACTTGGGGCACAATCTGAGCCTACCGGAAAAAAACGGAACGGAAAAAAATTGACTGGTTCTAATTGGCATGCCTTTATTCGAGTTCAACAATGATATCCACGGAGGCCAGGTATGACATCTACAGAGCCGGGTCCGGTCCAGTCAGTGTAGTGGTTAAGCTGGGAGCATCTGGGAGAGCAGACGTTCGGGGTCCGATTCCGCTCCATGTCCGTCCATCCCGCCAGAGTGAGAGGCAGGCGACGCCACACGACCGCAGCAGCTGAGGGTGTCGGCAAGCCCCAATATCACAGAGAAACTAGGTATTCTGCCTGGGGTCCTGGAGTAACAGATTGTAAGTAGGTGCCGCCCATTGGGAGTGCATGTCCGCGGTGACCCCCTTCACCAGTAGTTGCACAGAACACAAACCGTTGCTATGATTTTGAACTGTCAGAATGCCAGATACTAACGGATCCCACTGGTCCGTGTTTGCCCGCGCCAGAAACTAAAAATAAAGCACTGTTGATGAAACTCGTCGCGCACAGTTGCAAAAAAATACTACGCACATAGATCAAAACCAATTCTCCCTATGTGTGTTGAATGCAGCGATTTGTTTCTCCATTCTGTTGTGCTCAGCATCCTGCGAGAGACATAAATCAACCATCAGACATCAAGGAGTTTTAGTGGCCGTAGCCGTACGTTTTTTGTCAGACGTATCGAGATTCGTGTCTTGAATAGGTTGAATCAAGTATTTGCATAGTTGATGTATAGCACGTGCACGTTTAACGCGTAATTTTTACGGTGTCTACCTTTTACGCGTGAACATTTGGCGGAGTCAGCAATGCGCGTGTCGAAAGTTTGCGCGTTTATCTTTTGCAGTGACGATATTTTCCGTGTCTTGTTTGCCTGATGTTATTTTGCAGGCCGATATTTTCCATGCGATATTATGCGATCGATCTTGTGTGTCAATATTTAGCAAGTGGATATTTTGTTCTGTTAGCACTTCTTATGCCGCTATGTAATGAGTACTAAGGGACAATGCAATGTCTGCCTGAATCTTGATTTACCACGAGTTGCTGGACGAGTAGCGGTGAGACGGGACTAACGCTCACCATTCTAGCGGCTGGGCTGGGGTGGAGACCACGCGTGTCATGTGTGGGTGGGTGACCCTACATCGTCACCGACTAGGGCACAGCCCCAAACGACACCTCCCAATCACACCCCATTTGTGTGGCCATGTAAATGTACGGCGACAGCCAACTTCCTGCCTGCTTTAACACCGACCATTGAAGCAGCACGGATACAAAGCGCACGCCAACATGAGCGCGCGCCGCGATACAACACGTTGAAGCCTGCGCTCCACACGGCCACCCCCGCTGACGTGGGCTGCCCTGCAGCCGAGCCTGGATTGATCGGGCTGGCATCATGTGACGTCACGTACCGGTGGCGGCCGGGATGAGGAGCAGCGCCGTCCAGACGCCGATCATGGTCCGGGCCGGCCGACCGAGTCGCATGGTGCACCCATCAGAACCGCCCCCGGGTCAGCTCCTGTCGACGACGGCACACATCAGCGGTCGGCCACTGGAACTACTACAGTCACTGCTAGAGAATAACCACCGACGCGGTTAAAGCGAGGCACACAGTAGCACGCCATGCCAGCCATCATGCTCGTGACACGATGCGCTAGCTAAAACCGCAACTCACTGAGCGCTCCATGCACCAGGCACTGGCCTGGCGCACTCTGCCATGGCTGAAAACTATTGTACTCTTCATCGCGCTTTTAATTCAAAATTTTACAGTGAGCGGGTAGATCCCACGACAAACGCGAAGCTCATCAATGTTTCGATCCTGTTTTCAACAGCAGCAAAATATAAGCCATGAAGAGAACGAAATTTCTCGTCACACTGCAACAGAATAGACAACACGTCACAGCTACAGAAGTTGCTTTTTCTTACATCGTAGCATCGGACATGCCGGAGAACGTTCTCTACTTGACCCTCCCATTGCACCTGGAATGACTTTGGAGCGGGTTAAGCCCTCCCCTCTCAGATAGAAGTAGAGCGTGAGCGCCAGTTTGCGGACTGCGGACGCGCGCTCCGACCCGTTCCGGGACGCGGTTCCCGGACCGAATCAGCGCGCGCACCAGCACGTTCACGCCAGAGGTGCCGTTTTCTCAAAGTTCTTTCTGAAGTTCATCCTAAAGTCCAAAGAAGGGCAAGCTGCCCAATCAAAGAATTTCCAAAAATCAGGTTGTCCCAAAATTTCTAATTTTGTAAGCATCAACTTCTACCACTGTCTCCAACCAAAAACCCTAGTGACTACTCGCGTCGCCGCGCTCTCACACTGGAATCGAATGAAAAGAAGAAGAAGAAATATCTAAATCCAAAGATTTTTGTTCCCGCCCGTCTAATTTCACCTTGGAATTAGGAACAACTGGGATCCAAAAATTCTGGAATTCAATCAGCACCTCCCGGTCACACCCATACCCACACCCACGTACGGTTTTTGACATATTTATACGCACAACTTCGCGTCACACATCACTGCAAGCCAATCCTTATTCGCAAAAATTCCTTATACCAAATCTTTGGATCCGTAAAACTTTCTTCCGACAATATTTCAACTAGTTTTTTCTTCTTTTTTTTGGCAGACGTATTTCTTCGCATTTCAACTGCGTGTGACACAGTTTTTCGCGCATGCATTGCTTTGAATCGCATTTTGTCTTGGTACACGTCATACTTCCCTTCACGCTTCTTCGTATTGCATTTTCTCGTAAACGTGCTTTTCACGCCGTATTTTTGACGTAGGTACGCAGTCTTTGCCACCAAATATCTAGCATTAGGAGCGAAACGATGGCGTTTCCTCACCATCCGCTTTAATCCGCTGCTCGTTCCTCGCTAACAGTGTCTTCCGCTGTTGCCTTGTAAGTACCCCGTGCTTGGAGAAGCCCTTCCGTTACCCCACCCAACAACATTAAAGGGAATGTTCCACACTTGTATGGCGTTTTGAACTGAAATAGCCATCTTGAGGATCTTTTGATGTAGTTCACGGTTATGTTCTTTTTAAGACCCAAAACCATCTGGCTCCTGAGGTACACGCCGGCAAAAGTGCGAAAAGGTTTATCGGGAGACTATTTCAAAGTTGCCTTGGCATTAATGGCGTCAAAGAAACGTCATGCGATCGCGGTCATATTACAGGCTGTTCTCTGCTTATGGTCAAAACAGCATGGCCGCTCATACATTCGCAAAAGCGATGATGCGGCACGTATGATACAATACGCGGAAGATGATTGGCTGTTAGCAAGATTTCGCTGATGAATGCGCGTCGCGAACGTAAGCGTGAGCACTTTGAACTTGTGCGGCAGTAGTCGTGAACGGGTCATTTTTTCGTATTTCCAGGCCACAGGTCAATGCTATAGAAAAAAACGCCACTGTCTGCAAAAAAACTACGACACCCAAAAAACGGGTACTCTCTCGAAAGCTATAAAAGGAAGACGCAACGGCAAATCTGTCTTTTGTCCCGTCCTGGCGTTTTTTCTTCTTCCACTGACGTATTTCTAACAGACAGCTCGGTTGGCGCCTTGCGTTCCGGAGCACAGAACCTTGCACGGGTTTATGAGTTAGCAAGGCATTATGAAATTCGGGAAAAATCACAGTAAGTTTAGATATGTATTTCGCAAAATATTTCACACATATTGTACCACAAATCTAAATCTTGAGGAAAGAAGTTTGTTCTACAAGTACAACCTCTTGAGCTGCATTGCCATGAACCCCCCGTTGGGACTTAGTTGTGAAGGGAGGTCACGGTGAAATGCAGTGTTATAACTGAACATCTGTGCGGGAATTGCGAGAAAACCTGCAATTTGATAGCCCCGGGAGCTGTGCAATTGTGATATCAAACTTATTAGACAAAAGAATGTGAATCGACGGCTTGAAATGTGTGTGATCGCTGATGGTGTGCGCCAGTGGCTTGTGTTGATCTTGATGTGATGAGGAGTGTGTGTGCGAGGTTTGTACTTCTGAGAGAGAACATTGTTTTGACATTCTTTAGGTCTGCTGACTCCTACTTAAATGTGATATATTGATACCTGCCCCTATATTTATGTTTGCGTTTGAAAATGACAAAGAAATGCCGGCAAACTAAGAGAAACACTAGCATATATGTTGCAGGGGTGTACAAAGGCAAGCATTATGATCTTGCCAACATTTTGAGCCTACTGAGGCATTACAGCATGCAATTAACCCATTGCATATCATTATATCAGCAATTCATTTTAGCAGTAGGGGAAGGTGCGTGCAGCTCATTAAAAGACATGCTCAGTATAGGCTCACATTATGTCGCTTTGCAAAATTGTCTTTCCCTAAAGAATTCTGAAAATATAGAGCTGCATTAATACTGATGCACCTTGCACGGCCTTAACAAGCTATGTATGCAGGCGAGCATCGCTCGTAAGCCATCAATGTCATAGTCGCTGCAACTCGCGTGAGATGCTGGATTGCTGAGAAAGGTGGAAAAGTACTGCTGTTGGTGTCTTGGATAGCACTTAATAACATTTTTATCATGAGCTTTGTGTGCACTGGCAGCTTCATCACTTCCTTGCATTTTGCCCATCCAACCATAACTACGTGCACTTGTTATGTATCAAACCTTGTGCAAGGTCAGCATGTTTGCAGTGTCATTTCACCACATGCAAAATTTTCTGTTATTTTGTTTAGTTAAGTAGCTTGATGGCTGCAGCATGTTGCATGACTGTGGAAGTGGAAGATGTGTTTGCATCTCTGTCACCTACGTTTTGTAATTTCCCACGACAGACTGAGCAAGTGATGCCACTTATTGTTGTCTGCTTGCTGAAGGTGATTTGTATATTGTATCATGTGCTTTTGGTTTGTCATATGTCATATGGCGAGTCAATACATAAGCGCTCGCTTCACCCACCTTTTCATGATGGAATTTATTATGAAAGCAGCACGGATTGCAGTGCAAAAACAATGTTGTTGCTGATTATGTCATGCCACAGTACAGCACTGACGCAGTGCCATAATGACGCTGTTGATCCATGCCTTTACACAATGTACCACATTGGTTAAGTTCTCTATGTCAAGCCTATACGGCAGCAGCTTATGATTTATGAATGACTGGTAACAACGGATTTAATAATGCCAAACGACTATCAATAGAAAAGATGTCTTTGCACCACAATGGTTATATCGAGGTTAACTATTAATTGCATAAATAATCCTAAGCAACGAAAACTTTATTGGTACCCAAGCCTTATCATCTTTACCATTGCAATAGCAATGCTTTGACAATCAATTCATAGCAACGTTACAAGTGTCTTTTTTTATTTTCGCATGACACTGCATTTCCAGTTACAAACAATAAAGAAAGTAACTAGTAGGCAGATCATATGATATCAATGTCAGGACTACAGCACTGCAAGCAACGATGGGTCGACAATAAAGCACTGACAAAATCATCAACACCACAGCAGCAACAGCAGCAGCACAGCATATCGTGCTTGCATATTAATAATCTGGCATAAAAGCTGGTGATTGCTACGTTTCGTATGTCAAACAGTCCACGAAAGCTTTTCTTACGTGCGGCACAAGACAAAAAATCCACAAACAAACCACCCACTATCCCGCAACCCGACATAACCCCCGCGACGAAAATGGCCGGTTGGCGTCAGCTTTCGTGTGTTTCGAGGTATTCTTTAGGTATGGCTGCCAAACGCTGCCAGGTATTGCTGTCGTCATTAAATCATTCCATGACGCCATCAAACAATGACGTAATGGGGCGCATTTTACAAACTTTGAAATTTGGCTACTTAGCGTCGATTTTGGACCTTGAAAGCTTACCAATAGTTACAAGTAAGCTTTCCCCATCATACCTGATGCCTACCCCGATATCTTCCAATGTGGAACATTCGCTTTAACATACATGTACATCTCGACAACACACATATCATGATTATCTATAATGATGCATAACCCTATAGACCGATGAATCGCGTGACTCCCATCTGATGTCCTTCTTCCGTCCCTATAGACGGGCTGCAAAAGCGTCGGACTCCCAGTCCCATTATTCACAAAACAAAATGTAGTATCGAATCAGTGCGTCAATTCTGTTCAGATGAGGGCAAGACCACGCAACCAAGGCTCTACGCATTCTGAATATATACCACGTATATATCTGAACATAAGTCACGCCTTGAACTTCCACCACCTGTTCTCACGTGTGTACCGCCATCGTTCTGTGTTCCCGCTCCCGCTTGTGCTCCCGCACCCCCACCCTCTCTCTCTCTCTCTCCCTCTCCCTCTCCCCTCTCCCTCTCCCTCTCCCTCTCTCTCTCCCTCTCTCTCCCTCTCCTCTCCTCTCCCTCTCCCTCTCCCTCTCCCTCTCCCTCTCCGTTGTCACGCGAGCTGACTGTGGCGCCACTTTTACCGTGACATTTTAGCTGTGCCCGCGGTGCCCACGTTACCACTGTTGCCACTGTGCTCGCTTTGAGCCATCCCTATTTTGCATAACTTTTTAAACCCACCCGCGTC